GTGCCCAGTGGGGATAAATGCACTGAGGATACCCAGACACAAAGTCTGATAGAAAGACTCTGTGACCCCAGGGCCGGCCCGATCTAGAGTGATTTTCCCAAATGCAACAAGTCTGGTTGCAGCTCAGCTGTCAACATAAGAGAGCCATGTACCAGAGCACCCACGCTGCAGTGGGCAAGGGCTGCAGCCGGGAGATGAGACTGAGCTGCGGCGATGGCAAAGGGCAGGGCTGGATGTGGGCTGAGGCAGTGGCAGGGCCGGGCTCAGGCTGTCTCCTTCATGTGTGTCTCGGTTTGTATTGAATGATGTTAAGCAGAGCTGGAGCTGGCGCCTCAGCCTCATTACCTTCAATTACAATAATTGTTGCCTCTCTCCAGTGTTTTGCATTTCTCCCCGGGGGAATCTCTCTGCTGCTTCTTTTCCAGCCTCGCTCCATCTTCCCTCTATCGATTGGATCGCTCTCGCCCTGGTCCTGGCAGCTATGCCTCCAGGAGGATAAATGCAAACTGTCCTATTGATTGGGAGGAGTAGCTCAGCTGGGGGGAGGGAAGGATTAAAAAAAAAAAAAAAAAAAAGGTGACCTGATGAGCATCTCGGCAATGCTTTGCTTTCTGAGCCCCTTAAACATGTCTCTTTCTCCTGTGCTACATCTGGGGGATGCAGATCGGGGTTGGCTGGGTGATACGGGTACGGATCCTTCAGGCACACACCAGCCTCGCTCTCTGTTTGTTTCATGTGAACGTATTGCTGCCCATCACCAAAAGCAACTCCCCTCTTGCAGTTTGCAGGTAACCCAGTTTCACTGAGGACACACTAATTGCTCTGAAAGTGAGCAGGCTTCCATCTGCCCCTTTGAACTGCCCCACTTAAGCGGGATTGAGCTGCCTGGGAGTTTTTCACCTGCGGGAACCTGCTCGGCAGTCTGTCTGTCACCGAGAGGGCTGGGGAACGAGCCAAGCTCTGGGCTCTGCACAGTCTCAGCTCCTGACATGCTGCGTGGTTCGGCAAATCCACGGCCAGCCCAGAAGTGGGAAACCAAAGACACTGCACTGAGTCATATTAGGTTCCCTGCCCCCTGGGCTTTATGCTGAGCATAGCTACGCTAATTTAAGCCTTAATTATTTTTGAAGGCAATAATCAGCATAAGTAAAGGCAATTCAGTAGAATTAGCCTGTATGTATCATGTCCCAAATGTTAGAAAAATAACTGGAATGGCCGGCGTTGAGTGGTTAATAAAAAATACTACTCTGATTAATGCTGCTCCAAAGATGCTTAAACAGTCCCATTTCCAAATGAGAATTTCTCAGCCAAAGTGCAGCTGCAAGGTGCAAAATAGAATGGATATGACATATGAGCATCGCTTGTCACTGGTTTGAAAGAGCTGAAATGTAGCAATGATCTTTCCTTGCTGCTGAATGTGGCTGTTCCTCGCTGTTATGTGGCAGTGTTGGCAAGTGCTGGTGTGCACATAAATATCCCAGCGTGTAAACGCTGAGCTCCCCGAGTTCCCCCAGGACGGGGCTGCTGTGATGCCCTCTGTAAGATTGAACAATCGACTGCAGTTTTCCAAACTCCACTTCTTTTTTTTTTCTTTTTTTTTTCTCAAGGGAAGAAGGAGCTAGTGGAAGTGTTCAAACAAGCAGATACTGTTATGTTAATGCAGTTTTTGTTTGACAGAGGCAGACTGAAAGGTTACATCCAAATATTTGGAGAAACAGTGGCTAGTTGCCAGCGGGAAATCCATGATAATGTTCAAAGCCGTCAGATGAAGGAATTAGTCCTCACTCACTGCAAAACGTTCTTCTAAGAGTGACTGCTTAAACCAGGAGCACCTGCGAGCTGAGCTTTCAGCCCAGTTCTGTCAGTTGTGCGGGCATGCTGCTGTGGTGATCTGTAGCAGGCAGCATCGGGGACAGGCGCTGATGTTGATTTGTGTGAAAAAGAGGCAATACCTGAGAGAAGCAACACAGAGGGAGGAGGCTGATTTTTCTGGAGTTGATTTCCCAGAGCCAGAGAGGAGCTTTGCTGTCATTCAAAGAAATGTGCTCAGCAAGTGCTGCCAGCTCAGCCTCTGCCTTGGCTTCTCTTGATGTTCTTCCCAGATCTAGGAAAGACCTGAAACCCTCGTGCCAGTCATGCTCTCGAGCCTGTGTTGGGTCTCTTGAGCACATGGGGCTCATGGGGATGTGGGGTTTCATTGGGGGATTTCTGCAGTTGATGAGAGGGACTCATGCGTGGCTGCACGGTTCACATAGTGCTGGTGAAGGACAGCAGGCCTTCTCCTGGATGTATTTATCAAATTGGGCAGCAGGCACCAGCAGAGCAGCTGCCAGCCTGCTCTGGGTTTGACTGGTTTGGGACAGAGGGTGCTTACTGTTCATAGCTGTCTCTAAGGAGTGCCCTTCAGAAGATCTCCTGACAGAAACCTGGCAGCTGTTGGCCTGTGAGATGAAGTTTAAGGAACAAGACAGCAATTGAATGGCCTGCAAAGCTTCTTTGAATGGATCACTTCTTTTGATTGGGAAATTTATCTTCCTGGAAACAAAAGTTTGTGACTGTTTCAGTTTTGAGCAGATACAGAAGGGAACATGCTCCTGAGACATTTCCCAAGGCTGTGCCTTTCTCTGAGGTGCCCAAGGGCCAGTTCTGCAGCCAGGCCAGGCCCTCTGTGCTGGTCTCAGAGGGCTTCACTGTGCCTGGGGAGCTGTGTGGAAGCCCTGCACCCATGGGGCCACATGGTCCCTACAAAATGGAGCCTTGGCGCTGCTGTCCCACAGCTGCTGGAGCTGTGGCCTCGGGCTCCTGACACTCTCCTCACTGCAGTTATTAACCCACATTCCTTCTGGTTGCAGAACGTGCTGGATCTGTCTCCTGTCCCTTTCTTGAAAGCCAGTCTGGCCCTGTTAAGCTCTCACCTCTGAAACAAAAGCAAATTAGAATTGCAAAAGTGGAATGATTTTGTTTGTGCTGTGGCTTGACAAGGGACCCCAGGTGATTCTGCTGTGGCTTCACCCATACATCCTCCAAGGGATGTAAGTTAGGGAGGTACAAGGCTGGGGAGCGATCCCTTCCCTGTCCCCGTGGTGCCCCAGCTCTGCCTGCAGCACACACCATTTACCCATTTTTCACAGTAAATTGTAGCTCACAATTCTGACTTGACAGCTGTCAATGAAATTTGCTGCTGAAAACTGATTTCAAGTACATTGCCTCCTGGCCAGTCTGCCCGTGCTCCCTGGACAGGATGTTTATGACATTCAGGAGTCTCTCATGTTACTTAGTGCAGTAATGTGGCTCCACGAATAAAAGCCATTTCCAGTCTGTCGGTATCGCATGTAACAAATGGGATCTGCTAAATGCACTTGTCACCAGCGGGAGGGAGAGGAGAAACGATAACTGCAGACTCGCACATGTTGCTGTAATGATTATAAATTATAATGAATGATATTTTTGTATGTTTGCAAATGAGTGTCTGACAGCAGTGCAGAGTGGGAGATACCGCTTGGCTGATCCCGGTGTTTTTGTAATTTCTAAACAGAAACAAGAATTAGAAAATTACTTTGTGGTGGAGCGCAGCTATGTACAACATGAGCGCAAAGGCTGCGGTGCAGCACACGTGTGCCTATCTTTTACATATGCAAACGGCAAGACTCGCAGTAAAACCATTATAGTTTGTGATGGCATCAGCACTCATTAGCTGAGATCCAGCCTGTTCCTCCCTGCCAAAGTAAACCCAAGTTATCTCAACCTCAGACTGCACGTTTCCTCCTTTCTCTTTCAGGGGAGGAACGCCTTTGTCACAGGGCATTGCATCTTGGATAGAGAACATCTTGGAAGATGTGTGGAACATTTCATATGAAGGCTGTAATTTTTGCTATTGATGTTATATACACATATATACACGCTGCCCGATGGCTTTGACCATAAATGGGAAACAGTGGGTGTGCAGATACTGCAGAAATCAAGGCTTTTAAAAAGTAACGAGATGAGAACATAGAAAAGCAAATTAGCAATGAGACGTTAATGATGGGACATGCTGTGTTTGGGACATGAAGGAGCCTCAGCTCTGTATGAGGGGAGCCCTGAGTTGGTGGTACCATCACCTCCTGCTTCCCCTTCCTGTTGCTGCTTTTCCAAAGCCAATGTCAGAGGGACAGTGGGCTGCACTGGCGCGGAGCAGACATCTGCTCCATCCTGGAGTGACAGTGGCCTCAAAGTCCCCTGAGCCACACAGAGCATCCCGGCCCACTGGATCTGGGCAGAAGTACAAATGTGTTTCTTATACAATCATGGAAAAAAAGGCTGTAATGACACTTCTGGCACCACGGTGTTGCATGACTTTGGCATCCCACCCATGAGCACTGGCGCAGAGCAGCAGGAAGGGCAGCAGTCATTACCTGCTGCAGGCCCCATAGCACTGCCATCAGCATGGGGCGTGCAACCTGCTTTCATTTCAGCTGCGCCTTTCATCGTGAAGAAAGGGTTTCGTGTCGTTGTTTATTCATTAAACACGTCTCCACCAAAACGCGGGCAGAGATATTACATTTGCTTATGAAACTCGGCATGCGTTATGCCCCATCGCATCCGGAACGGGAACGATCGGTACCCCCTCTCCTCTCTCCGCCAAGCCCCAAGCTCCGAGGGGCGAACGGGGCGAACGGCACGGCACTGCCCCGCACTGCCGCCACCCGGGGGCGCCGCGAGCGGACTCGGGCCCGGGGTCGGCGGAGGCGGCCGTGCCCGCGGCGTTCCCCGCCCGCCTCCCGGCGGCGCCGCGGCGCGGCCAATGGGGCGGCGCGGGGGGCGTGCCGGCCCGGCCCGGCGCCGCCGGTATTTACGGGGCGGGAGGCGCCGCCGCCGTGTCAGCGAGCAGCGCCCGCCGGGCCGCGCAGTCCCCGCCGCACCGCCGCCGCAGCCGGGGACGGGGCCGCAGCGGTGGCCGCGCGACGGCTGCGCCCGCGGGCGAGCGGCTCCTCGGTGGAGGCGGTGGCGGGCGGCTCGGCCGTGCCAGCGGGGCGGGCTGTGGCGGGCGGGTAAATGGATCGCCATTCCAGCTACATCTTCATCTGGCTGCAACTGGAGCTGTGCGCCATGGCCGTCCTGCTCACCAGAGGTGAGGGCGGCAGAGCCCCGGGGGAGGCTGCGGGGAGCCCGGCGGGACCGAGGGACGCCCGGGGTGCGGCTCCGCGCTGCCCTCGCGGCGGGCGGCCGGACCTTCGTCGGCGTCGCCGGGAGCCCGGCCCGGGGCGACGCGGAGGCGGCCGTCCGGAACCGCCGCAGCCGGGGGTTGGGGCAGGGTGAGCTGCTGCGCCGCGGTACTTCGTTATTTTAGAAGGCAGGCTGTAATTAAGGCTAAATAACAGCCCTGGCAGTGCGGAGGGAGCCTCCCGGCCCCATCAAAGCGGGCAGAGCAGGGAGGGACTGAGTGATGTGAAGTCGCAGATACTGAAACTATGTGCCTGATAATGATATAATTAGGGGATCACAGGCTGCTGGCTGCTGCCGACTTCAAACGCTCCGAGAGAAGCCCGCAGTCTCTCCTGTAGCCATCTTGACTAAAAGCAGACATTTTTCTTTAATAGCTACATACAGTAACAAGAAAGAGGAGGGAACAGAAGGGCATTGTTCGCCGTTTCAAAACACCGAATACCCTTTCTGGCCTTTTGCGTAGCACAGGAAGAAACTTTATGAATTGACAGAAATACAGTTTTAACGCAGCAGTACAGAGTCCGTTCTGTTCGATCAGAAACGTGGCTTTAATTAAAAAGCAGTTGCAGTATCCCGATGATAGCCCGTCAGGTTTGTTTATAGGATCGTCTCGGGTCTGTAAAGCGCTGAGCGTGGAGCAGGGCTGCGGGCGGTTCAGCAGTGCGTGTGTTGCTTCTGGCCCTCGGATAGCAGTGCTGCTGCTGCTGGTGTTCCCGATCTCTGCTTATTTTTAACTCCCTCATAGAGAGAAACTGACAAAAATTACTTTTTCTCTCCCTCCACACGCTCTCTGAAAAAATTATTTAAAATGCCTAGAAAATGATTGTTGCCAACCGCAAACACAAAGGGGCTGCTCCATAGCATGCTGGAAGGGAATGTGTGTGAATTCAAGAGAAATTAGGTTACTCGCGCTGAGAGCCCAAGGGAGTCGACGCAGATTGGAGACAGTGAGACACTCCATCATTTGGCTTCTATTAGGCAGTTATTGCACAGCAGCGGGAACTGCAGAGCCTGGAGCCGGCGGTGGTGTTCTGGGGGAGCACGGAGGTGGGCAGAGGGCTGCTAACCTGGTTGAGTGTTGTTCACATCCCTCAGAACAACTTCTGGGCTTGCGGGAGGGGGGAAGAAAGCAAGGAAGGGTGGCAGCAGGAAGCCTATGGAGCGATTTCTGGGAGGGCAAGCTGCGAAAGGAAGGTCTGACAATTCATTTGGCTTTCAGGGCTTTGGTGCTGCTCTGATGGCAAATTGACCAGGTGCATTAGTAGCTCATCTCTTCTGAGGATAACTTCAGAAACATGACTTCCTCCTAAACTCTGGGCTGGTGGCACAGTGAGTGTGTCAGGGCTGCAGCTTGCCTAGAAAGAGTGAGCGTTCACTGCATCAGGGCGAGTGTAACTCGTGCCAGCGTGTTTTGGAGAGCACAACATGAAGAGCTTTAAGGAGGGAACATCTTTATTGCTTCCTTCAGAAGTTTTTGAGGCTTCCTGATTTTTTTTCATAGAGCTGGTAGAGGATTTTCAGTCTGAGTGTTTCCCCTTCTCACCGCATGTTGGATTCCATGCAAAATCTGGGGGAGCGCTTTCAAGCCTCATAACTTCACATTTGGGTTGGAGGACACTGATTGGTTTGCCGGAATTCACTGTAAGCTGTACTGTGTCTGTTTTGATGGACAAAAGGAAGCCTTTTTGCATGAATTGTTACTTGAGAAAGAATTTCTCTTTCTGTAGGAATTACCAATAGTTGCCCAGTTTCACACAATAAAAAACTTCCTGACTGGGAGATTTTAGATGGTAATGGTTCTAGCTAATAGCTTTATAAGGTGTTAGTTAAACCTTTTAAATTCTGGCACAGTACTGAGAGGTAATAAACAATTCAACAGTTCCGTTTTTTTTGTTGTTGTCACACAGACATTTAATGTAGAGTTTCTGTGTGTTTATGCCCAGTGAGGAGAAGTGTTCAGTTCATAAAAGTAGAATGCTACTCCTGTAGTAATGATTTAATATAACATAGATGTGACTTTTTTGTAGGACTGTAGGTGTGTATTGCTTTTAGAACTGGGATTTCTTTTTAAATGCAGTGTAATGCAACTGCTGATGAGGAGTGGAAGTAGCTATAAAATAGTCTTGTTAGTTTTTTACTTGGGGGGAGAAAAAAAGCACCACTTTGACCTTCCTGCCCTCCTCCCTCTCCCCCATTCCCCATCCCTGTTTTAGTGAAATGTTCTTGCTTTAATTCAAAGGGCCACAGTACTACTAATTAAAACAAGTGCCTCAAGGCATTTGCTGGGATTAAAGTTACAAGGAGACAGGCACTGCAAAGCCATGGAAGGGAAACAACCCCCTGCTCTCCTGGATTTACAGTCTAGGGGTGTACCCTGAAAGTGGTACCAAGTTTGACTTGCATGTACTGCTTACAGCTGATAAGAAGAGTGTTTAGCAAAGGGTCTCTAAGGAACCACATTCTTAACTGTATCTTGCACAACTTTATTTTCTAGGTGAAATCAGATGCTACTGTGATGCTGCACACTGTGTTGCGACTGGCTATATGTGCAAATCCGAGCTTAGCGCCTGCTTCTCCAGACTGCTTGATCCTCAGAATACACATTCCCCACTTACTCATGGCTGCTTGGACTCTATTGCAAGCACAGCTGATATCTGCCAAGCTAAACAGGCACAAAACCACTCTGGCACCACCGTGTCCACATTGGAATGCTGTCATGAAGATATGTGCAATTACAGAGGACTTCATGATGTTTTGTCTCCTTCCAAGGGTGAGACTTCAGGTAGGGTGAGGAAGCTTCTTTGAAATCGCTCTTGTAGCCTTCAGGCTAGTGGCGGTCAGATCTTGAAGGTCTGCAGTTAGTTTTGTTATTAATGTAAATAGAGACAGCAGAGGGAGAAGCGGGTGGCTGGGTGCAGGGGAGCATATCAGCTGAGTAGCTTTTATGTCTGTGTTAATGTTAGAGGTCTGTCTTGCTTATCTGTGGCATTCCTCCTTAAATCAGCTGTCAGGGCAAGAAATTCCATGTCATAAACACCCTTGGAAACTTCTCTCTCAGTACGGCGCAGTGTGTAGACTCCTTAGACTTGTCAGTGCAGACTTTCAGGGAGTTGCTGATATGTAAGCTGATTGTTGATGCTGAAATAAACCTCACATCTTTCTCCCTCTGCAGGACAAGGGAGCAGATATCAACATGACAGCAAGAATCTTATCACCAAGGTACAGGAACTGACCTCTTCGAAAGAATTATGGTTCAGGGCAGCTGTAATAGCTGTTCCTATAGCTGGTGGGCTAATTTTGGTGCTTCTTATCATGCTGGCCTTGCGGATGCTCAGGAGTGAAAATAAGAGACTGCAAGATCAACGACAGCAAATGCTCTCCCGTTTGCACTATAGTTTTCATGGACATCATTCGAAGAAAGGACAGGTAGCAAAATTGGACCTGGAATGCATGGTGCCTGTAACTGGTCACGAGAACTGCTGCATGACCTGTGATAAAATGAGACATTCGGACCTCAGCAATGATAAGATCCTATCGCTAGTCCACTGGGGAATGTACAGTGGACATGGGAAGCTGGAATTTGTATGACCAATTATTTTTTTTAATCTGAGCTAAACTTACTCTCCGAACTCTTGAAGGCCTTTGGGTTCTGCTGGACAGGAGCACTTTATCTTAAAAGAAAAACTCTCATAAATCATCTTTGAGAAACAAAGGACCTCTACAAACAGAATCTTGGATATTTCTTCTGAAGGATTCCAAAAGTTATCTTATTTGCACAGAATAAAATACACTCAAATGTATTGTTTGCTTTAAAGTTATGAAAGCAAAAATTAGAAGTTGTAAACACTGTCACCAGGGTTATCTGAACTGTAGGGAGCTGAGAACTGAGTTATTATAATAAACTCTATGCAAGCTCCTATGCTTCCTGACTTATTGTAAAGATTTTTTTTAAATATATATATTTTGTCTGAAACTTGTTTGTGACTTTTTGTTTTAGAAAACAATAGTCTTTTCCTTTTTTTCTGGGTGGGAATAAATCAGTGGTAAATGTGGTAATGCTGTGCAGAATAGTTACTGCAGACATAGCCTGTTTTCCTCTTTGCTGTGGAGAACTAGGTAATTACTTGTGAATGAGAGTGACAGATTCACTATTTAGTACTTCAGGGACAATGAACTTGCGTCCTCCATTCTTGACTATCTTAGTTTTTTTTTTTTCCTTGTGGCTATGTGAGTTCTTTTGGACTATGTGGTAACTTTTTCATCTTCTCTGCAGGCAAAACTTAACAAAAAATTTCTCCTGATTCTTACAGTTCATTTTCCTTGCTTGTCTCACAATACTTGTTTTCTCTTATTTTTCTTTTGTATGGAACTCTTTTCTTTTGTACTTTCTACTTTTGGATTTTATTTAGGGATGGGGAGGGAGTGGGAAGGAACTCAGGGAAAGCCTCATGACCTTCTCTGTTGTGGGAGTGTGTGTGTGTGTGTGTTTATATATATAATATATTTTTCCTGCTGCTAACCTCTGAGCACTATGGAACACAACATCTGCCATGCTCTTTTATAGTCTGAGTGTCACATGCTGCTACTTCTGTGTGGGACTGATTAACTGGAGAATCAACAATGAGCTCACTTTAATCTCTGTCTCTTTATGCTGCTTTTGTATAGGTTGCTTTTTGTCTCAGTCTATGTTTATACACTTCAGTGTTTCTTTTTCCTTCAACATGTTGGTTTCTTTCAGTTATTTCTTTTATTCAGTGTCTAGTTGCTATAGTCAAAAGCAACTTCTGGATTATCCAAGGAGCTTATACTATTTGAAACTTAAAGTATTTTTCTTGCTTTACTAAGCAGTATTAAACTTTGTTTAAAAGTAGATGCTGCATAGTGGCAAAAGGAAAATTCAAAAGGCTGCTGCTGGAGACAAAATTTAGTGAAAACTTTGTATTTGTCTATGTTTAAATGGCTTCAGAAATGCTTCTGTCTCCTCTTCTTGTCGTACAGTTGAGCTTGTATCCTCTCAAATGAGGAGATCGTGTATGCAAGGATTACAAAAATTTTGCAGCAATGTTTGGGTCTTGTATACTAGTTGCTGTGGTAGATTGCTTTGAAATATGCAGCCAGAAATACAGGGAGCTGTAAGGAAGGAAAACCTGGTTCCATGTCACAAGCATTTATTCCTGAAAGTACTCTCTGACTTGTGTGGTGGCGTTGCTGGGGATGATCAGTGGGCTGTGTAAATAGGAGTGCTGCAAATTCATTCACAGTTAAACACGTTGGCCAAGAACCCTGTGAACCTTGGTCCCACCGTGCCCAGGTTTACAGTGTTCAGGTATAACCTAGGGGAGCCAGCTTCATTTCTGTACGGCAGGTTGCTGGCTCCCTCTTCCACAAAGCGCCTGAAGAACTAATTGCTCTTAACGCAGCACATTTCAGTCTCAGAATTTTTCCTTTTCCTGCTGCTTGATTGCGTGGCTGCAATTGCGTTAGGAGCCTGCCTGTGACCTTTCAAAGTGCTGCTTTCCTACAGCAGCTCTCTATTTGCACCAATACCAAATTCTAGGGCAACTGTCTGCTCTGCCATATCGGGGAATCGTTTGCTGGCAACTTGGTGCAGGAAGGCAGGAACCCGAAATATCTGTCAAGCGTGGCTGCAGCAGTGGTGATGATGTCTGGGTGGGTTATAAGAGCTGATGGCTAAACTTTCCTCTGCAGATCTGGAGCAGCACATCCTACGGTTCTATAACCATCCCCTGACCTTCACCAGTCATTTGCTGCTGATTTGAATACATAAGGGCCTATTTATACTTGCTATTGAAAAGCTAATAAGAGCAGGAACGTTTCTAATTGGCCCCTCACTGTGGAGGCGTTTTAGAGAAAAGAGCCTGTCCGCCATCCCCGCGGGCCGAGCCCCGGGACAGCCTGAGCGGCTGAGGAAGCTTCTAGGAAGCTTCCAGGCCCCCAAGTCTTCTCGGGGTGGAATCTAGGTTTTCAATTTATCGCAGCCTGTATGTCCAGGGAACGATGTTATGGGCGCTGGTGTCTGTCTGGCAGCAGCTTTGTGAGCTGTGAAAGGAGCCCTGGCTCTCCTCACTTAAACTTGGGGTCTGAGCGCACCGGGCTGTGCATGCTGTTGGTGAGGGCTCCACAGAGACTGCGTGTCGTGTCTGCAGAGCTCACCAGTACCAGTTTGTCATCACTCCTATGGGATAAATAAGCTACCATTCTGTAACAAGCGGGGACCTTTGTGCTCTTCCCCGGGTGCTGCGTCAGCGCTCACAAAGCTGCATGAAATCTGCAGGGCCTGGCCGAGGCTGCGGGCAGAGCGGTGAGGCAGCGGCTGACGGCTGTCCTCTCAGAATGGAGCCCTGGCTTTGTCACTGTGCTGCGCACTCTCGGGTTTCCACTGCAGACAATAACAAGTGTTCCTTTGAAAGTGCAGCGAGCCCTGGAGCGTAAGGAGGACAGCCTTCTCTATGGCTAACTGAAAAGTCTCTCAGATTGCAATGAATGAAATCAAACATCCAAGATGCAATTTAGCTTCCCCTGTGCCTCTCTATTTCCCTGACTCTTTCCTTGAAACAATGATTGCGGCTTTTCTTATGGCTCTGCTTCTCCAGTCTTGGGAGCCATTGCGTTTGTAAGTCTCCTCTTAACTCCTGCTGAACTGATTCTATTAAAACCCCCTTACACCACAGGGGGCTTGACCTTTTTCTGAAATACTGAATGTGTCTGCTTTGGAAATCACAAACTTCTCCTCCTCTAAAGAGCTTGTAAATCTGGTTTCAATATTGGGTGATTACAGGCTGTGTGGAGAGCTTGAAAGTAAGCGGCCACTTCTGATTTGGAGCTGGGGCCTAGCTGTGTCCTCATGGCAGCCCTGCAAGTGCTCAGAGTGCAGCCCCTGACACCAACAGAGCCTTGGATTAGCAGCCAGTGAGTGACCAGGCTCTAGTTTTTTCTAACTGGGATCTTGGGGTCCGCTTCTTCGTTGCTGTACAACCTCTTGCTCTGTTATAAATCCAGCAGCCTCTTCACCTGGGGGAAAAACAAGATTTTCCTTAGGTGCAGTGGATTCATCTTCACCTTCCGTGGCAGATGTCATCACTGTTAAAACAAGGGAAAATCCATTGCCAGGCTGCCTGGGATATGCCTGTTTGCTACGCAAGTAAATGAAAGCAAAATTTGGCCTTCCCATTGAAGGGTTTGTGGAGGAAATATGATTGTCACTTGAGGAAAAAATATCTATGGCCAAAAAAAGACCTCTGTAATAAGGCACATGTCGAGTGAATAAAGAAGGCCTCTGAGGTAGGCAAAGTTGTCTTTATTTCTTTTTTTAGATGTTTTCCCACGTGGAGATCAATAGAAGTGTGTTTGTTTTGTTCCAGTGGCTGGCCACTTTGCAGGAAAAATGCTTCTTCTTATTTTGGTTCTAGGAGCTACTCAGGGAAATGGTATTTTGGATCTGTCGCTGTTTTATTTCTGGAAGAAAGGTTGTGGAGAGGTGCTGTAAAGTTACGGTTATCTCTGGGGAGGAGCCCGGTGTCTCCAGCATTATGATTTCTGGCTCCATCTAAATAAACAAACATCCTTGTTTTCTTTGTTTCACCTCTAACCCTTGTCTGCAGCCTTTATAATCCCAGTGGGTGAATCCTGAAGTTAAAACAAACTGCAAGGGAAGGAAGCCAGGAGGGAGCCGCAGTGCCTGCACATTAACAAAGCTTTGTGCTGCCCAGCCAACCTTGACAAAAGGATTCAATCCTGAGCTGACCTTCCAGGGGAAAAGCAAAACAAAAACCACCTTGACTTGAACTTTCAGAACTGTAAGAGTTTAATGCTCGGTTTGATGTCTCCTAAGAGGAGTGGAGAGTCAGAAATGCCAAACACCTGTCTTGGAAACCCAAATCTTAACAAGTTATCAGGAAATAAGAGCTCCAAATCAAATGGCTTTGAAAAACTTAGGTTTTGCTCATCACTATTTCCACATCATTCATTGTTTTAAGAACAGACTAGAAATGTTGTGGGGCTATTTATTTATTTATTTATTTATTTTCTCCAACATGTCTCTGGGCAGGTTTAACAACGTTGAGTTCTGCTGAACCAGCAGCCTTAAAATGCAGCCTTTCACTGAACTCTTTCACTGCCTCAGAGCCCAGCCTCCTTCCCCATTGGCAGCAAGGGCGTGAATGAGTCAGTGCTGCTAACCTTGTGAGCAGAGGGGCTGGTGCAAATTTAGGATGAGACTTTCTTTTTTAAGAAGTCTTCATTAAAATTGGAAGGATATTTTTCTCTGTAGTTTCACAGTTTTACAGTACAGTTTTACAGTAATACATCAGCGGTCATGCAGTTGAGAAAAGCTAGCCAAGTGTGTTTGCCATTTCCCCCACCTTGGTTATTGGCTACTTTTAAAAATAGTGACTCGAGACAGCTTTTAAAAATGAGGCCTCAGCTTTAATGGCATTTTCTCATACTAGATCAAGCGCTCTTTTAGGACAGTTTCTGTGAAGCAGCAGGAGGATGAGCTCCTGCCTTTCTTTTAGTTACATTTCCATTTCTAAAACAAAGGCCACCAAAAAAGGTAAAATCTACATCCTCACAAACTTGTAGCATCCACATGTGACTGACCCCAGGGGACCATTAGCAGGCCAGTGCCAGCACCGATAGCAAACACGGAGCGTGAGGTCAGTCTGCACTATTAGCTTTTGGGCTCGCTTCACCCTAGCAGCCCCAACATTGCAGAGGCAAATCCCCTTCCTGTCACTTGGAAGGAAAATATTTGTGCAGTAAATCTCCTGCTAGCACTTGGTTGTGTCACCAAGGAGGGGGAAAATGGGCTGGGCGGCTCAGTGCTGCTGCCCGGTGTGTCTGGGAGTGTGTGTATTTGGGTGCAAATCAGGGCTGGTGTCAAACAGGTTGCTTTGAAATGCTCAATTTGTTTAGTTCTGGCTGTGAAGTAGCTATTTCATCAGTGGAAGATTT